TTCCCTTCAATTTTGATTTCGTATGTTGTCTTGCACAGTATATAATTTTCAAGCTCTCTCCAAAATGTAGCACTATATGAACAGCCATAAAACAAATGAGTAACACTTTCAAGTTCAGTTTTACAAAAGGTACATTTTCTATCAATGTCGCAGAATCTTGAAATGTACATGTTGGATGGAACTAACTAACGTCCTAATCCTGGACCAAAATCTGACGTCACACCCTGCTGAGGTCACATGACAAGAAGAAAGTCGTTCAGGATTTCAGTGACGTCTGTCACCAGGTGGCGGCGTTGCAGCCCTGAGCGAGATTTTCATTAGAGAAGAAGAAGAAGCAGCAGGAGCGCAGAGTCAGGGCGGCTGCCGAGCTTCACTTTTCTACTGATCTTTATTTTTTGTCCTTTTATCGGATAAATTTAAGCACAGCACCTGGACACGCGACACTTGCACACTGGGGTCAAAGGGCGACATTGTGTCGGTATGTAAACAGAGCCGTTTCCGGTTATCTCAACTGTTAGCAGGGTGGCGGTGGCATCAATGTTTACAGTGTGTTTACAGTGAGGAGAGACTGGGGCCGATTAGGCTGCTGACGGTGAGTGTGTCACCTCTCAGGTCTCAGGTGAACACGTGACTCACCTTTACCTCCTGTGACAGCTGAAGGGTGAGCGTTAGCCTGCTTTAGAGAGACAGGTGTGTGAGTGTGGGTGTGAGTGTGGGTGTGCATCAGGTTTCCCCGCTGCAAGAAATTGACCACCTTAAATACCTCTTAAAGTCCACCTTAAAGCTGAAGCCCCTCTCTGCTGCCACAGCATTGATCTGGAACGCCTCAGTTTGGGGGATTTGGCGGCTCCTGTGGTGACCGTGGAGAACTCCAGGTGTGTTTAACACTACAGAGGAGGAGGTTTTCCCACAAGTGCGTTTACTGAGCTCAGGCTTCAACACTAATGCATTTTACACATTACTGGGGTGTGCTGTAGAAAGCCAATGATAAGTCCGGTTTCTTCCCTCACACTCATTATTGACAAAGCTGGGTCAGGACCACTGATGGTCAAATTGGGATAAAGTGGCAAATTTAGAAGATTAATGTTGTAAATTTAGGGAAGCCTGCCTGCCAGAGTCAGCGTGGTGCTTGGTGAAGTGCAGTTATTAACGATGCTAATGGTTTGTATGTTAGTTAGCTGAGGATTTTTAACGTGAATGAGTTATTGCAGGCCTTCTCTGTTATAAAACACCTTTAATCCACAGGGAGTGTTTGATCTGTTCATCTGTGCATCAACATGGGAAAAAGTTTAAATCCTACGCCGCCCAGCACAGGTGGATATTGATACTGTTTCCCTCAGCTCAGGTCAGGACGGGTCGCTTAGAGAAAAGAATCAGGGTTTTCAAGCCAAACTCGGAGCCTTACGTTGGCATGATCCTGCGGGACGTGGAGACAAAGCACGTCTGTGAGCTCAGCAGCAGCCCATGCAGAGCTTTTCTCTGAATATTCACTTTGTTCTTCAGTCTTCAGTTTCAGAGTGAAACATCTGCACGCCGCCTCTGTTCAAATCTCACTAATAAACACAAACATTCACAATGGAAATCTATAACATGGAAAAGATAACAGCTTCTGTTAACCACAAGCTGGAGAAATTTACATCATACTGGGAAAACTGGGTCAAATATATCACGCCTCATAGGCCAGATTTTATTTTTACAAACCAATAACTGTGATGTATGAGAGTATATATTTATAGGATCACCCCCTACCAACACATCCGGTTTTTTTTGTTGGTTTTGTTTGTTTTTCTTATTTCGGATTATGTGATTGTTTCAATTGCTTCTATAGTTGTAAATATTCTCTCTTTATGACTCGGATGTAAATTAAAATACTATTTCAGTATCTAAGGCAAAAATAAATAAATAAATAAAATAAACACAAACATGTTCACAGGTCTGTGAGCGAGGAGACCTGAGAGACTGTTCACCTGCAGGGATTCACTGTCTGATCTCATCAATACCTGCTGACGAGGAGGAGCGCTGATACGGCTGTCAGCTGATCCATCAGCCTGTCTGGAAGGACTTCGGGTGGCCCTGCAAGTGGAGGGCTGGTACCTGGCTGCGGGTGCAGATGGGGAACAGCGCGCTGAAGTCTCACCTTGAAACCTCCCAGAAGACGGGAGTGTTTCAGCTGACGGGGAAAGGTCTGCAGGAGGTGAGTTGACTCACACATGCACAGAAAGATTTAAACACCCGTTTGACGCGTCAGACGTCTCAGTTCGGGCAGCCTTTGATTGGACAGTTCTCCTTTCAGTTCAGAGCCTTTACTGTCATTGCATGAAAATGGAGTGGTATCGCTGGGATGCAGAACAAACACACACAGACACGTGTTCACACATGTATAAAAACGAATAAATCAGCAGGTGATCACCTTTTCTACACCTGCCCAGATGGTGTTTATCTGCGATTTGCTGAAGGGGTGGGAGCCGGGCCTGTAACTTTTTTGTGCAGTCTTTATGATGCATTGGAGTCTATTTTTGTTCGTGTATGAGGAGCTTGTGATACAATATGACAGCAGGGCCCTATTTCAGGAAGCCGGTTTAGTGCAAACTCTGAGTAAGTATACCCTGAGTTAACGAAAACTCTGGGTTTTCGGTTTCACAAAGCGAGTTTAGATTAATTCTGAGTGAGTTACTATGACGACACACTCCGTGAAGCTAACCTGCCCCCTAGCAGGTTTACTTCAACTAACCCTGACTTTCTCCGCCTCTTTGTCGAAACCTGACTGTAGGAAGTGTCAGACATGGCGTGCCCCTTCCTTGAAGAGCCAGTAGATGTTGAAGCCCAAATTCTCCGCAGAGCTCTCCGCCGGGAGAGAGTGATTAGAGCGCGTTTGGACATTTTATCATTTCCTGATGATTTCTGTGTGAACGTTACCGTTTTTCAGCACAATCTATAATTTATTTGAATAACATCCTCAGGCCTAATATTGCTCATGTGACATGCGACATTCTCTCAGTTCTGTACATATTATTTGTATTGCACTTCGGTTTTTTGC